ATATATAAATATATATATAAAAAATAAAATACTGGAGATCAACGTTATCCCCACTTGGGTATGATCCAGTTCATTCTCTCCACATTAGACCACACGTATTTTCACGTTCTGTACATTACCATCATATTAAAATAGGAATTGAAAGTTAGCACCAGGCAGAAGGGAAAGGGAGCTGACCCAGTTGGTCCTGCTGTGTCTTTCCTCCCCATTCCCTACTGCTGCACCACTCAGCATCTGTTGTCTCTTACACGACACTCTTCAGGGGTAAGTTCGGGGCTCCTGGATTCAAACTTTTCTTGTCCTCCTTCCTTCCATGTCTAAGAAAATTTACCTGTTCTGTGGCCTAGTCTCACAAGGCCCCTTGTCTGAAGCTAGCTAGCTAGATAGCATATTTCCAACAATCAGTGGCCTTTACTGCCTTTGTTCACGCAACAAAACCGCGCATCTACTAGGTATCAAGTATTATTCTAGGTGTTGGGGATAAAGTGGTGAACAAAACAGTCAAAAATCCACTCCTCGATCTAGTGAAGGAAGAAAGAAATAATAAGCAAGAAGCTGTAATCAGTAGTAAGCATGACCAAATGCTAAAGAGAAAATTAAAACATGAGAGGGGAACAAGGAGCTCTTGGGAGGAGGTGCCAGAGACTCACACCAAGATTACAACACCACGGTTCAGTCAGCAAACAGCTGTATCTCACCATTCTTACATACTTAAAAATATCCCCTCAAAATCACCCTAAATATAAAACAAAATATAAAAACAAAGTTTAGTAAAAGGCAGTTATTTCTATTTTCTAAATTCAAAGTGTTCCATCCTACACTAAATAAACAAGTGAAATCCTAACTGTAGAAATGTATTCTTTTCTTAAATGACTCACTATTCATCAAAACAATAATAGGAGGGTGGCTATGAACATACATTGTTGAGTAGAAAGCATGATACTTTTTAATATTCTTTATAGGGATAGGACAAACCCAAGCCATTACCATGAGGAAAAAGTTCAAAGCATATGTACCCTGAGTTACTGAGAAAAAGGAGAGTTGCAAATAGGGTAAATGACAAGATACCATTCCAAAACCACACAGCTTCCCTTTTTATTGATGCTCAAGAATTGAACTTTAAATGACATTTCATAAGCAAAACACAAATGAAAACACCTAATTTGCATGTATAATATATGTAAACATACATGTTATATGGACTTAATAATCCTCATCTAAATATAAAGAGAACTGGTTCTTTGACCTCAAAAATAAATTCAACGTTGGCATTACTGTTTTTAACTTATAGTGTTTTATATTTAACAGGAAAAATTATGAATAACCAAGTTTGGTGTGGTCATGGATTTCATGTTAAGGTATAAATAGAGTTTTTAAGAAATAATCTGTATAATAAAATAAGTTTACTTTTGAATCGCAGTACAGTCATTTCCTTCAATCAATAAAAATATTCCTTGATTACAAAGCAGCCTTATTTTGCAAATGTATTTCAGGAAAATAGCTCTAGCAATATTTGAAACACCACACTATTTTAAAAAGGCAGCGAAGTGACAGAATTTAGATTTAAAATAGTATATTGCAAAATAGTTCAACATATTATTTCTAAGCACAAGGCAAGCTCCATTCTGAAGGATACTTTTTAATCTTATAAAGCAAACTGTTCCAATATTTCTGTGGTAAAGTCTAAATATTCACAATAAAAGATGAATCTTTACAGAGACAGGACATTAACTTCAATATGTAACCACAATGCAAACATTTTACATTATGACATCACTCTAATATGAAGCTTAGTTTGTTAACATGTGCTCAAGAAGAAAAATAAAAACAGTACAGTTCTGTAGCTTTGTAACAGGCTGAACTCTGCAACAATTCGAGAAATAAAAACAGCAAACCCAACACCAGTTCTATGAGTAATAAAACAAAAAAAAAATCCAGATATTATAAACATTTAAGTAAATAACTAATACATCCCTCCTAATATATCTTTATTTGCTCTCTTCTGTTAAATACGTTTTTTAAAATGTTTCTCATATCTCAGGAGGAAAGGACGGTAAATTCTTCACCAAGATAAAAGTGCATCATGTTTTAAAAGTGCTTCGTGTTTATGTGTTACAAACATATCCAATAAGGAAGTTAAGTAAGTTTGTGCAAAAAAATCTAATTACCACTTGAATTCATAAACCTTAATCATGGGTTTTTGTAGTTCATCCAGATGAAGCAGTCAAGCAGCAGAAGAAAAATCTGAGATTAGACATTTTGTATAGAGGAAAGAGCACTGGGCCACAAGTGAGGAGACCCACATTCTACTATTAGCTCAGTTAACCAACCAGTTAGTGACCCCAGGTAAGACAGGCTTCCACTTCGGTATTTGGCAATGGACAAGAAGCAGAGCTGGAGAGGCTCTGAGGCCCCTTCCAACTCCAAAATTATCATGTATCTTTAGATGAGGCATTTCTGAAAGGGCAAATAATTTTACTAAAATATAAAAATACATACTAGTCATCTAGCTACTATTCACTTATTGGACTTATTAGTAATAAAGCACAGAAAGAAAGAAAAATTCCAAAAATGCTTGACGAAAAAAAAGGTCACGTGAACATTATTCGTAACCAAAGCTAGAGAAACCCTTCGCAATTATGGCGCTAAGAAAAATCCAATAGGTTTGTGCAAAACAAAAACAGAGTAAGCAAAGAAATGCAACAGCTGGTCACCTGATGGCACTTTTTATTCCTGAGTCCCAGAATTTTCTTGGGACCTAAAGCTTTAATCGGTACTTATTTTGAAAATTGCTTTAAAAGAACCATGATTCCCCAGAGTTCATATTCATGGCTTTGTAAAGAACTCTCTGAATTGTTATAATGGTTTTTAAGAAGATAACTATATTTTCAAATTTTAAATATGGCTAAATAAAGTAAACCATTTACCATGGACTCTTTATTTACACCAAATT